CTCGGTATTGTAGGGAACCGGCACGGCGTCTGCCGATTCTCGCGTCGAACCGAGTGAGTCTGGTTCGACTTGTCGAGTTTTCAAGCCCTAGGAGAAACTGTGGGAAAAATTTAAAAAAAGGTTGTGTTTTTTTTTTAAGGTTGCAACTTTAAACAATCCAATTAAAGCACACCTCCAAATTTTATCATAACATGTAATTTTGTTAAAAACAATTCTTACAATTATCTCAAAATCTATTTTTATATCTAATTATAAAATTTTATACTTTAAACCTTGTTAAAATTAAGTAGATCTATAAAGATATGAAAATCTTGAAAATGGATGATCTAGATAATGAATTACAAGATGCACTATTTCGAGGACTCCAAATCTTTTTTTTTTTTTTTCATATTCATACTTTTCGATGCTGAGATGATCAATTAGATGTTTTTTCAAACCGATGGCTTTTTGAGGTGCATATGTAATTCTACATTTTAAGGTCAATGACTTTAGGGCCTCACTTACCTAAGGTTAGCAATGAGCTAGTCCTAAAAAACTAGGGCCTCAACTACAAAATGTGCTTTGATGGGCCAGGCCTTTTTGTTGTTGTTATTTTCTTGTGTTTTCTTTGATTCTAATTGGCATAAGCGTAGCTCGACCTAGCCCCGCCTCGTCCGGGGCTTCTTTGTCCCTGTCCTAGTTAGGCTCAGGCCGGCCCTATGGGGACCAAGGCCAGGCTTGGGCTAAGGTCAGGGCTGACCTGACCAGGCTCAGCCTATTGCCAGCCCTAGCTGTACCATAATTTAGTAGTGTGCGTGTGCGTCCTATGCACAATTGAGAAGCATACTGTTGTAGAAGTATTATTTGTGTCACGTCACAACGTGGAGCAACTTTGAAGTTGCAAATCACTGTGCATACTGTTGTAGAAGTATTATTTGTGTCACGTCACAACGTGGAGCAACTTTGAAACTGCAAATCATATTTCAAAATGTGATTATTAAAAGGGAAAGTATAAAATGGGACCATTTATATTTGGTAAGATGTGGTCATATTGTTGGACGGTTGGATATGAGATTGGGTGGCTGCGATTATTCCATTGACCAACCTCAAACTTTAAAAGAAATTTTTTCGAACTTTTTGACACATCCAAGCTATCAAATTTCACATCGGATGGTTGCCGGTAATTGTGATTTTCTTGTATCAAATATAAATGGTCTCATTATATACAATCCCTTATTAAAATCTTAGTAGTTTTGTAATATGATAAAACATTTGGTGCTCTTAAAGGAGGTCTAAGCAACAATTACTTTAGAAAGCGCATAGATATCATAGGAAAATGTTCTCGTAAGCTTACTAGCCAATATATTTTTGAAAAATATAGGTGGCAATGGATACGATGGAGTCCGGGTCCGACCGGACCCCGACCCAGACTTAACTGGACTTGGTCGGACCCAACTCATAAATCAAAATATTTAAATATTTAACTATATTTTAATATATTTCAGATATTGGGACTTGAAAAATTTTACCGAACCTAGACCTGAATAGTGTTCGGGTACAAGAATTGGACCTGGACTCGACGCACCAGGTTCAAATTTTTGGGCCCATACTCAGTCTTGGATTGGGTCTACCCATCGGGTCCAGGTCGGATCCAAGCCCATTGCCAACCCTATTGAAAAATGATCATGTCATCCACTAGCCTATAGGAATAGTATAAACCCAGTCACCTAGATGAAGAATCTGGAAATGAATGGTAGCACACTATGGTAACAATTCTTTTTTGAAAAAAGGGTTGAAATTTGATGGACTGCAAATTTTGCACACATGTGCCTTTCGTTTAATCATTATAAATATAAAAAATAAAGAAATGTATGCGCTCAAAAAATGTTGAACAAAATGTGTGTGTCATTTCTCAGCCATCGATATCGACCCGTCTCCTTCAATCTGGACCATTAAACTTGTGCTAGATGTCTCTGGCTTAAAAATCTTTATCCTGAACTAAAAAAGAAAGATATATGATACTTATAGTCTATCCTCCCCCTTATCCAACCATCCATTCTAAATGGAGGGTTAAGATTGCCCCAATCACAATCTCACATCTCTACGCTATTTTGTTTTTAATGTTTTTCTATAAATTATTTTGACACCAAATTTTGGATGTCCATTCCTCTATTAAACTCGCGTTAGCGAAAAATATATAAAAAATATTTTCAATAAAATAAAATGACCAAAATACTTTTGAAAGTTTCAAAGGGTCTTTTGATCATTATATTGTATCAAAAAATTGTTTTTAATATTTTTTACATGTGCGCCCCAATGAAAAGATGGCACGTACTAAATTTTATATTCATATAATTTGTATAAAAAAACTAAAAATGAAATATTTTGAGACATCGGATCTAAGATCAAACGGAGAGTGACGCTTTTGCTCAAATTTGAGCAATTAGATGATAAGGAGAGGATATAACTTCTATGATAAACATGAAAACCTTTCCCTTTAGATAAAAGCAAGCTTTCCATTTACTCATTCTCTACGCATAACTCTCAAGAAGTGACCTTTTAGAAGTTTTGATTAGGACGAAGTTTGTATGAGCCCGACTTACTTATTCAAATGAGTCATCTCTCTGAAATTTATTTTAGATTAAAAAATTCTGAGGAATATGTAACCTCAACAGTGATAAGTAGTAACCTGCAAAATACATAAATTTCAAAAATATAAAAATAAAAATTTTGACATAATTTTAACAACATCAATTTTAAAACTTTTTGGAGCTATCATTTTCCATCATCCATCTCCATGATGGATGTTCGATGCCGCAGGGGACACTATTGTAGAAGTGCGTCCCTTGATATACGGACTGCTTTTTCTTTTGATTATGACCTTCTAAGATCTTTTTAATATTTTTTCTTTTGGAAAGAAGTGGGTAATAAACCATGGGCAAAGACCACAATATCAAGTGCCCTCTTTATTGGAATACTTGTCTCCAAATATTGGATTCGATTTTGATAAGAGAGGCGCTCCAGTATTATGATAATTATTGATTTGGACAGAGCATGTTTTATTAAAGGAAAAAAATTATATGGGTTGATAGTGAGGAAAAAGAAGAAGAATAAGGCTATTTCGATATTGGAAAAAGCATCTAATTGATCATCTCGATGTCGAGATGAGATGTCTGCATGTAGAGTAAATACATATTTCAAGTTCTAAAAATAGTACATCTTGCTACACAGACCATCTTTAGAATTTTCGACTCCAAAATTACATCTTATGACAAAGTTTTGAGGTACACCTTACTTTTGATTGTTTAAGGGTGAAACCATAAACCACAACCTTTCTTAAAAAACGTATCCGTGATGCAAATCTTTTACATGTCTAAGTATGGTAAAATGGAGGATGGTAATTTTCGATCCTTGAAAAATATGGGTAAAAAAAAAAAAAAGCCTATCAAAATCATTGAGGGTCTCAACATGAGGTTACATTTTAATTTATTTCAATTGGGTACCTCCCAAAAAAAAAATTTAATTGCCTCTATTCAAATTCGGAACCTAAACAATGAGAATCTTTTGATAACTTAGATTCAATAAATTACTTGCAATTGAATCCCTAAACTATAAGCATTGTGATTGAACAAATGATGTGGGAACCATCTCTGGGATAACTAATGTTTCAAAATCCAGATAAGTGGGGCGGATGTTCCCCCATGAATCCTTGCTGGGCTGGATTAGCGATCTGGATCAGGTTTTGGTCCAAAATGCTCTTATTTCACAACTTATTTGACGGCCCAACTTATTTTACTAGGGCTGCAGCCCTATAGAAACATTTTCCTTCTAAAAGACAGGGAGGGCCCCACTCCCCCACATCACATACTTTTAATTGCCACGTGTCATGTAGTTATTGATTGTCCAGTTACCAATAATGAACTTGTGATTTGATTCGATGATTATTTTTCCAACAACATTTGCATGAACAAATAAAATAATGAAAATTATAATCACAATAATAATATTTATTGTCCCCATGTTATTGTCCCCATGCTTTAAAGGAAACGTATACAATGACTCGGTATGGTTTCCACATGGTTCCAACTTTAAACAATTGACTTAAGACGTACTTCCCAATTTTATTATAAAACTTAATTTTGGTGTAAAATTTAATTTTATATTTAATTATAAAATTTTAAGCTTCAAGATTGCTTAAAATCAAATAGATCTATCAATATATAGAAAATCTTAAAAATAGACAGGACAAGATATATTATTTTTGAGATTCAAAATCGTTTTTTTATATATATTCCAGACGGTACAAGATGTACTACTTTTAGAATTCAAAATCTTTTTTTTATATATATATTTCAATATCTCCAATATGATCAATTAGAGGATTTTTCAATAGTAAAACCACTTTTTCTAATGGATTTTTGAGGTGTATATTTAATTCTATATTTTTAATCTTACAACTTTATATAAACTTTTTTTTTTATCTTCAATATATGGTGGTCACAATTAATTTTGACCATTAGATATGAAATTAGATGGCGCATTTATTGAATTGACTAAGGTCAAACTTTTTTAAAAGAATTCTCCAACTTTGTGACACACCCAAGATGTTAGATTTTACTTATTGTAAATACTCGTGACATCATTGTGTCGAAGATAAATACTCTCATTACATACAATCCAAATTTTAAATAGGTGTAGTTTACATAAAACAATCACAAATTTTATCATAAGATGTAATTTAGGCGTTAAAAATTCATAGAAAGCATTGAGAATCCATTTTCATTTCTAACTATAAAATTTTAGACTTAAAAAATGGTTAAAATCATTAAGATACATATTAAAATATTAAAAATGGACGGTCCAAATGATGTGATGCAAGATGCACTATTTTAATATTCGATTTCTTTTTTTTTTCCTATTCATTGGTCTTGACATTGAGATGATTAATTATAGGTTTTCTCAAATTGAAAACTGTATTTTACAATGGGTTTTTAAGGCGCATTTTAATTCCACATTTTAAGGTTGCAACTTTACATAGACTTTTTACTTTAAAATAACACAAAAAGGCGCACATTTCCTCTTTTCCAGAAAAGATAGAGAAAGAAGAAGAAAAACAGTTTTGAAATTTGAATAACTCGTTGCATATACACTGGTTGAAGAGAGAGAGCATTGTTTCCTTTTTTTTTTTTTGGTCAATTTTGTTGCCCTTCACTGGTTTTGATTCCTAAATTGTTGCTTGGATTATCTGGTTTTGGGGCAAGGCCATGAATTTGCAGAGAGCAATAGCAGCCCCACCAGTTGTGGGGCTTGTTTATGATGAGAGGATGTGTAAGCACTCTGAACCCACTGTCATGCCTCACCCTGAAAGCTCCATGAGAATTAGGGCTATTTGGGACAAGCTAGGGCAAGCTCGTGTCACTGAAAGGTTTGGTTTTTGTTGATTTCATCTTTCTCTCCCTCTCTCTCTCTC